GGTGCGAATGACAATAAAGAAACTCTGACTCTGACTCTGATATCAAGTCAAGTCAAGTCAAGTCACATTTATTTATATAGCACATTTAAAACACACAAAATCTGCCCAAGCAATATATTGTTACAGTATATTTACTATTTGAACATGAGCGCACATCAGTACAAGCTAAGGTAATTTAACATGTGGCAAAACAAAACAATCCAACAAAAATCTTCCCAGAGTTCCCAGCAAAATTGGAATAAAAACTGCCCAGTCTGGCAAGACTGCCTCCTTGTGTAATTCTCTAGACAAGTGGTCTCTGTTTGTCTGATTTAAATTCTAATTTGTCTCTAATGAATGGTTGCATACCACAGCCTTTTAAGATTACTGTAATTAAACCTTTACTTAAGAAACATAACCTTGACTCAGGAATCCTAGACAATTATAGACCTAGATCTAATCTAACTTTCATCTAAAAAATTCTAGAGAAAATAGTTGCAGGTCAGTTACGTGAACATCTTAAAAGAAATAATCTGTTTGAAGAGTTTCAGTCAGAGCTCACCACAGCACTGAATCTGCACTGGGGAAAGTTACTAATGATATTCTCATGGCCTCTGACAATGGAGAGGTGTCTCCACTGGTCCTGTTAGACCTCGGTGCTGCATTTAGTTGATCATATTGTTTTATTACAGAGACTCGAATATGATGTTGGGATTACAGGAACAGCTCTAAATTGTATTAAATCATATCTATCTGATAGATTCCAGTCTGTAAATGTAAATAATGAGTCTTCATCATACACCAAAGTCAGTCATGGAGTTCCTCAAGGTTCAGTGCTTGGAACAATACTCTTTACTTTGTATATGCTTCCATTAGGTAAAGTTATTAAACAGCATGGGATAAATTTTCATTGTTATGCTGATGACACACAATTATATTTGTCCATTAAACCCAATGAATCCAATCAGCTACTTAGACTACAAGCATGTCTTAAAGATATAAAAACCTGGATGACCCTTAATTTTCTCCTGTTGAACAGACAAGTCTGAGGTTTTGGTTTTTGGACCTGAGCACCTTAGGAATGAATGTTTCAGTCTTTCTCCCTCCTTAGATGGCATTAATCTGTCCTCCAGCTCTAATGTTAAAAATCTTGGTGTTATT